TCCTCCATGCATCTCGTTCCAAAGAAGAAATACTTCACTTGACTTGAGTTCTGAAAATTACTTCTCCCACCTTTTGAGGGAAGCTGAACCAACATTTATCCCCCTCTCAGAATTTCCAATTCTTTTGTAGAATCATCTCTCTCTCTTTCTGCCCCTCTCTCTTCCTTTCTCCTATTCACTCTCCCTCCCTTCCTCTCTCGGCTCTTTCAATACTTTTCCGTCTGAAATAAAAACTCCTGTTTTTTATTTTCACTTACCTTTATTTCCAAACTACTTGACTCTATTCACTCTTCATCCCTCTATCCTTGGGATTCTCTCCCCTATCACCTCCCCAAATACTCTTAAAATCACCAGTGGTTTGATGGCCAGAATCAAAAAACATTATCTCCTTCTTACCTTACTTGAGCTCTCAATGGCAACTGACTCCAATGGAAAGCACTGATGAAACTCTGAAGAACTTAGAGACAACACTAAGAATGCAGCAAGTCAAATCCACATCTAGAGGCTATGGCTATAGCCAACATTAGTAATCTTACACAAGAGTATCAGAAAATATATGACCGAAAACCTCAACATGTAGGTGGTCAGAGAACAATTTCAGAAGACAAGAATAGACTCTGATTATAAGTTGGTCGTGGGTACCTGTGTTCTCAGGGGGACTGCAAAAACAGAAAGGTCTACTTAGACTAAGAGAAAGCAAAGACATCCTGTGTCATTACCTCTGGAGAGACCAGGGGCTTCATGGACACTTAAAGGAAACCTTCACTCCATCACTATTGCTAGAATCTAAGAGTGATAATGAATCCATATATTACATGTGTACTTAGAAATAAGCTAGAAAATTAGCCAATTCTAAGTATGGAAGCCAGATCGCACAGAAAGCATTTTGTATAGTTCCGTGTTTATGAAATCAAGAAGATGCGAACTAACGGATTGTGAAATCGGCCAGAAGAGCAGTGGCTATACAGATGGAAGGGGAAGGAGGAAGCCTTCCAGGGTGCTGTATTGAAATGGTCAATGTCTTCAAGGGGGCAGGGTTGTTACCCAGATTTGCACATGTGCAAAAATGTATTTAGCTGTGCACTTTAGATTTGTGTATTTTACTGTATGTATATTTTACCTCAATTAAAATTAAATATTGGGTTGTCGGAAAAGTCATGAAGCATTTATGCATAGAAAAAAATATGTCATGACTTTTCTGACAACCCAATAGAAAGATACTCATTGTCCTAAATTTTTAAAAAGTAAGGGCTGTAAATCTGTGACACTCCTAGTACAAGAGTATGGCTAGTCCAGTGGAACTAGTGCATCGAGTTTAAATTGCATAAGTGAAGTCCTGTCCTCAGACCCCCAAATTAACAAATCAACTTCAGAATCTCGATTTGCCTTCTCAGGTTAGTCTACCCTTGTTCTTGGATGTTTGCATTGTTGATTAATATATTGGTATTTTGGCCTGAAGATTTCAGTTTCCAGGAATTTACTTTAAAGGTTATTAGTTCTCTTGGCCCCTGGAGATTCAGACATCTTCAGAGTGCTAACAAAATGTGCTCTTTTTCCTGACCTCAAAGCTTAGGTTATGAGGCTTTCCAGAAGACAGTTGAATCTGCTGTCCTTGACGAGGCCTCTCTTCGGTGGCATTGTTCCAAGAGAGGGTGACTGGTGAGGACTGGAGGGAGAAGTATCCAGGTTGAATTTCTGGATCCACAAACCCAACTATTCTGCACCTTTGCTTTGGCCACGCTTTATCTGAGGTTTTGCCTTTTCTCGCTCAGTCACTACAGCTGTCTCTGGTACCTCAGCTTCCCATCTGCCCAAGCAGAGAAAAGCAAAGCAAAGTCACCTGCTGTGGCCTTTTCAAGGGTCCCCCAGGCCTTCCCTGTTCACATTCAAGCCACTGTGCTTAGTTAGGTAACAGTTTCACTTACCTGCAGCCACCCCGCTCCACTCCACACTTTCATCCACTCCACTTTATCTAATGTTGCTAATCGGCGGGGCGGCGTGACTGACATTCGGAGCGGGACAATTCTTCATTGTGCAGAACTATCCTACGCATTCCTGTAGGTTTAGCATCCCTGGCTCCTGCCCACTGAATGCCAGAATGTCACCCTCAGACATTATGACAGCTAAAACATGCCTCCAGGTATTTCCTAACACTTCCTGTTGCCCCTCCTCCAGGTGGCTACCACCTCCGACCGGGCCCTCATACCTCAGCTCAAGCACTGGGAATTGCGTCCTTCACAGGTCAAGAGCATCCAGATGGGCTATTCAGCGTGAGTATTGCATTCTCCTGGAAGCCCTCACGAATGATGTCCAATAGCACACCATCCCTTTATTAAAGTTCTCACTACCGTCTATTGTAATACCCAGTTTGCCTGCGGCTGTTCCCTCTTGCTGTATTGCTCAACCTAATTATTTAGGAGCAAGTTATCAAGTCTTAAGTCACTTTATCACCCTATAACTTGGCACTGGCGCCTGGCACAACATGGGTACTCAACGTAGATCGAACAAACAGGATGTTGGGCATACTTTCCCTGATGAGTCAGTGTTACTATTCTTGGGTGCGCAGATGCCTTCAGGACATGCTGAGCCAGTGACTCTTTGGCTCGATGTCAAACAATCCACCACTGTCCTGCTTTATGGATTTTTGTGTCTAGATCTCGCCTTGTGTCACCTGCATGCCAGTTTCCAGCGAGCCTTCATGAACTGCAAATCCTGAGACAGGCCATCTGGAGCGTGCATGAATGTTGTGACAGTAACCATGTGAGTTCAAGGTCTGTCCATGTTAGTTCAGGGTCTGTCCAACTTATTGCTCAGCTGTAACGAGGTTTCACATGTTTGAAGTCTCTCCTCTGGTGAGGGAGGCCGTCAGTTTCTAAGAACACTCTGAATAGTCATTTTCTTTTTGAAATCTGTTTAGAATTTACTCAGGAGGACTTCAGAGAAGTGTTCTATACTAAGAGGGCCATCCCTAGGATCCTGGCTGGTGACAAAACAACAGACTAAGTGATTTCTCTAAATGATTTCCCAAGGTAGGGATTTTCTAAATTGTTGCTGTGTGCTCTGCTACAGAGTATTGGCTCCCCTTTTTTTAGACCTTTTTGCTATAAGGTGTGTGTACTCCCCGGAGAGAGACAGAAAGACAGAGATCCCACTCCAGAGGGAGAATGGCCACACCCCAATCCTTAGTCCTCCTTTTTCCTTCCAGGATTTTGGGTATACATACTTACACACCAAGTGCATTTTTTAGGCCATATGGGATCCAACACTTTAACCACCATGTCACTAGCTTGCCCATTTTACACCAAGAAATACTGGGCTAAGTATCTCAAATATGAGATCTTTCTAATTTTTGTTTTGCGTGACTTTAACAAAAAAAAAAACAAAACTTTTCCATTATAATTCATAAAGAATCAAGTCCAGGATCAAAAAATAAAGGGAAATAAAGGGAACAGCCGGGCAGAAGTGGTTGGAGACTACGATTTTTCAGAAAATGTTCATATTTACTATGTCTTTAAGTGCTTTCAGCACACATGGTAGTAAATGATATGCAACTCAATCAACAAACAACTTTTGCTTTTTCTTTTATTTTCAACATTTATCCATCTCATTATAATTTTTCTTTCACAGGTAATTAAGACAATTTCAGAAACAAAACTATACAAATAGAAGAATGTTAAATAGTTTAAAAATAGCATGTTGCTTACAAAAAGCTCATAGAATCTATCTCCCCAATAATAATTTTATACTTTGCACTAAACCAAATAGCTTATAGAAAATTAGTATTAAATAGCTAAATACAGAAATCCTACAACTATAAATAATTATACAAACAGAAGAACGTTAAATAGTTTAAAAATAGCTTGTTGCTTGTAAAACGCTCATAAAGCTCATAGAATCTATCCCTCCCACAGTAATTTTATACTTTGCACTAAACCAAATAGCTTATGGAAAATTAGTATTAAATAGCTAAATATAGAAATCCTACAACTATAAATAACTTAACATAAAATAGAGTTTGACTCCAACATGATGCTTAAACAAAGCAACTATGATGCAATATGAATCAACTTCATTAACTGGACAAGTCCAATGAGGCACAAATCAAGGAGTGCTGAATGCTCAATGACGTGCCATCGAGGTTCTTTCTGACCTTGGGCTCTGTCCAATTTTATTCCAGAAGAGCTTCTGTTTTTACATCCTCTTGACTTTTTGGCTACAAAGAGGAAAAGAAGAAAAGAGTAAGCAAAACTGGCTGTTAAGGATGGCTTTGGTACCCAAAGTTTGCTTCACATGCCCTTAATCATCTCGGGATGCCAAACAGCTCAAAGTCCAGATGAGGAAATTGTGGTAGATAGGGTGGGCCCTGCCCAGCATAACTCAGCTAGTTAATGACAGAAACAGGAAGTGAACACTAATCTGTGTCCCCAGCCCCAGTGTCTATGGCACACTGATGTTAGGTGCCTTCTGTCCATTGATAAAATGTTACTTTCTATTCTCGTCCATGTAAACCAGAATGATTGTTCTCTTTTTAACTAACGCTTGTTTTCAGTTTTTAATCAACCACCCACTGTCAGGTGGTCTGTAAATAATATAACTAGGGGACATCTTTGCAGTAAGAATCGAGCCGCCAGGGACTATCAAATGTAAATACATCCAGTGAAAAGTTGCTAAGTTAAAATAATAATGATGATGACTTAGAAGTGAAAAAATCAATTCCTTGTGTTCATGATCCAACTCAAATTTCTCCTTTGAAAAATCCACAGTACTTAGGCTAAAGAATCCCAGGAAGCCCACAGGCCAGTCCTGGACATGCTCCTCCCGCCCCAGACATTTGGAGAGAGAGTGAGCGATCATCACTGTCCATACCTGATGAAGCGGACTGCTCTTTTCACCCAGGGCTGCTTTGGATTGGCACACACAGCTAGCTTGTCCTCAGTGTAAAATCTGAAAAAATCAGAACATGCAATTTGGGTCTAGTGAGCTTTTAAATGTTTTTCCCCCCCACAGAACATGCAATAAAATTTCTTATTCTGGTTGATTTCTCTGTATACTGGACATTTATAGACACAAAATAAAATGCAAAAAAAATCTTTCTGATAAAGTTTGATGCAGGAAATAAGTGATTATCTCTGACTTTCTCTGCAGTGTGACAGATACTTGAACAATGACAAGTAGATGAAGTCCCAGATCCTCATTTAATCTTGCTGCTGGAGGTTATATGAAATATTTTATGTATGTATCTGGTCAATAACATGACAGAATATAATACTTAGTCCATGTGTATCCAGAATATTATATATAACAGTATAGCCTGACATTTTAGTTACAACCTCAACCAATTTTTGGTAGAAGGTGCTCATGTTGAAATACATATCTTCCATATTTTCCAGAGACTATTTTATAGCCTAAACATTTATCTTAGAAAGTGATTTTAGGGGCAGGCAGGTGGCATGGTGGTTACAGGTGCTGGACTTCTACATGGCTGACCGCGGTTCAAGTCCCAGACCTGACTACTTGCTTTCTCACTTCCTCTCTCTTTACCTCCCTCTCTGTCCCTCTCCGGTCAAATTAAAATAAACTGATTAATCAAGTTTTAAAAAGTGATTTTAATAGCCTATAAGTTTATCTTAGAAAGGTTTTTATATTATACTATTTCTGTTTTCAAAAAAAGTTAAGTTTTTGCCTGTTTCAGTCCTCTTTAAACTTTGAAGTAGATATGCACTAGTAAACCAAACCTATCTTTGCCATGTCATTAGTTTCTGGATGAAACTCCAAAAAAGCAAAAAAAAAAAAAAAAGAAAAAGAAAAAGAAAATACACCCTAGAGTTCCATGTAGTCACAATACACGCGCACTCAAATCATCGAACAACTCACATGACAGCATTGATGTCGCAAGCTTCACTGGCGAGCTGCTGGATGAAGCCCACGAGGCGCCCGGGACGAAGGACGCGTTCTGTGTATCGAAGGCAGCAGTCAAAATTACTCGCTGCTGAAAGAGAAATGAAAGCTATCGAGTTCCCACGAATGAACATCAGCTATTGCTATTCAGAAACTACCTGCAGTTGTGAAAAATCTAGTGACTCTTACTTGCATGGTAAATAAACCATTTAGGGGAAAGGTTCAATATCTTCAAGGCCTATAGGGAGTCCTTGAGTTTCAATGTAACATAATGTCCAATTCTCTTAAAATAGCTCATATGCATGGAAGTGCCATTTCAATAAGTGTAGAAATGCATGACTGTCCATATGTGGAATATCTTTATAAAACACACATTGAGAATATTTCATTTCTATTCATTATAGTCATTCAAAAATATGAGTATTTCCCCCCACCACTGCTTAAGGAAACCGTTACAGATAACCTTCCAAATTCCAAAAATCAACAAACTGACACATTTTAATCTGTTATCTGACCACTGACTATGGAGAAGAGGGTTTCAAAGAAATACGTGATTTTGAGGGGCTACAAGCAAAATACTTTGAAACTGTAATGGTTGATGAAAGTTTTTAATTTTGTTCACTGACATTCGATACGTGTGTTTTCAGAATGTACGTGTTGCTAAATTATACGGTAATAATGCATTACTTGGACATGCCTCTCAGTTACATTGTAACTTGCTGTTAATAAGATGAAGGATAAATGTTATCTCAAAGTTGTCAAGCAAGGTCCACAAGACCTCGCGGGAATGATAAACTCAAATGCCATAACTTGCCCTTGAAAAAAGAGTTTTAAACTTTACTGAAACTATTCAGTTGTGTGTTGAGAAAGTTGAGGAAATAGGCTCAGCCTCTACATCTCAGAATGACCCCAGTGACTGGTAATGTGACACAATTTACATCAGTCCTAGAAGCAGTGCGTTGGCCTTGTCCTGAAGTTCAAGGTTCTCTAAGAGCCCGCCACGCCTATAATCTGTCAATCTGCGATTAACAGACGAGAGCAGAACAAAATTAGCAGCAGCCCTTCCCTCCTTCACTCACCAGCGAGCTGAGACCTCTCCTCGCTCACCTTTGTAGAATTCTCATCGCTCACCCCTGGGTGAGCTCGAGGCTGAGAGGAAAATGAAAACCACGTTTGCTCTAGGCTAGCAAAAAGAGCGACACTTACCTTCAGACTTGCTGCAGAGGTGGAGCAGCAGCACTGCCATCAAAGCAGCCAGGAGCAAGCCCTTCTCATTGCGCATCATTTTCGGCTCGAAGAACAGATGTGCTCAGTGCTGGGTGTGCAGTGCTCTGGGAGAGATGTGTTCTGCCAGCAGCTTGGGATGTCCTTACTTATAGCAAATAGGGGGAATGTACACAGAAGGCGTATTCTTACACGGGGTTTTCCCCATTGATCAAACCTGCCCCATCATGTCGTCACAAAGAAAACCCACAGGGAAAACTTCCTGCCTTTCCCTGATGTTGGGAAGGTGTAAAGGGCACAGCGAGGGGGAGGAGGGGTGGAGAAGGGAAGGATCCTGTCAAATCCTTTGGATTTCCAAAGAGGAAAAGCAGCTCAGCCCTGTGGTCCAGAAAAGGCTTCTGTTTTAACTTAATCTCATTTGTCTCTGAAAATAGAGGATTACCAGTGATACAAAGGTGTCACCCAGGCACATTCCAGCAGTCCTATTGTTAAACCCTGTTTGCTTTCTGAGCCTGTTGGAAAGGGGGAGGATGAGGTGGGATGCCAGGCATACTCAAGCTCACACTTAGAATAGCATGTCTGAGGTTCAGCTGTCACGAAGCCCCTGAATGTCTAGACTAGCACTGAGAGCGGGTAACATAACAATGCCGTAATGGTGTCATTAAATACAGTGGCAAATTCTAGCCCGTAAGTAACATTGAGGTTACAGTGTCGTCCTCACATGATATCAACATTCCTTGAAGAATTTTATGGCTCTGGGGTCGGCAGGAGGCATGGTGGTCGAGGGCGCTGGACTCCCACGCGGCCGACCTTGGTTCAAGTCCCAGACCTGGCAGCTTGCTTTCTCACTTTCCCTCTTTCTCTTTGTCTCTGTCTCTCACTCTGTCCCTCTCAGGCAAATTAAAATAAATAAATAAGTAAAGTTAAATAAAATAATTCTTTTTAGAAAAGGAATTTTATGGCTGTAACCTAAAACCATTTAGTTGGGAGTTGAGAAAGTCGGAGAAGTAGGATTGTCCTCTACATTTCATTATTGCAGCCCAGAAGACAATCCCCACATACATTCATTTAGGTCTTTATGTTGATGTACTGTGTAACTCAAAAAAAAAAAATAATAACTCTCAGAAGGAAAGAAAATAACTCTCAGGAGAAAAGAAAAAAACTCTATGAGCGGTGATTAATCAGCAAAACCAAATGTCAAATAATAATGATAATAATAATAACGTAGGGATTAGGGCATGACCATCCCTCCTGGGGGAGGATTTCTCACCTTCCCTCTCACTGTCCCCTCCCCCCCAAGAACATGCACCCTAAAGGCAAAAATCTCTTGGGAAAAGACAGAAAAGAAAGAACTGTCCACTTGACACAAATAGATTGAAACTTTCAAGAATCAAAAAAGATATACCACTACAATGAAAACTGGAGTTGCTGTGCCTGTATAGGATAAAAAGGTTTTCAAATAAAAATAGTGTTAGAGATAAAGAGAGACTTTCATAATACTAAAGGACCAATTTATCAGGAAGATGTAAAAATTATGACTATATATGAACCTAATGACAGCACCCAAAAAAACATGAAGCAAAAACTGACAGACTTGAAAGGATAAGCAGTTCAACTACAAAGTTACAGGCCTGGGGCCAGCAGGTGGATGGTGCTTGAAACACCAGACTTCCACACGGCCAACTATAGTTTGGGACTCAGACCTGGTGGCTTGCTTTCTCAATTTCTCTCTCTCTCTCTCTCTCTCGTGAGTGCACAGGGCCTATAGCAAATTAAATAATAATAATAATGATAATGATAAATAAAATCAAATAAATAATTTCTTTTTTTTTAAAAGTTGGAGTTTTGGGCCAGCCAGTGGCATGATGGTTCAAGCAGCTGGATCCCTCATGGCCAACAGCATGTTTTCAGTCCTGGACCCACAGGCTTGAGAAACGCACCAGGTGTGAATGCATGCGTGCCCAAATCCTGAGAGGAGAAAGGAAGAGAAGGGACTGCAGTGTGGCCATCCCCTGTGGTGTGCTTTCTCACATTCTCTCTCTCTTTTTCTCTCTGGGAAATGTATGTGCCCTATAAAAAACTTAAAAAAAAAAAAGTCGGAAGCTTTGATAACATACTCTCAATAGTTAATAGAAAAACTAGATGGAAGATTCACCAAAATATAGCAGATTTAAACAACAGGATAAGCCAACTAGAACTGACATCTTTTTTTTTTCTTATTTAACATTATTTATCATCATTATTATGATTATCCAACTTGACCAGAGAGAGGAAGAGAGAGAGGGAGAAAGTGAGAAAGCATGACCTAATTGACATCTATAAAACACTCTACCCAACATCAATACTATAAACTTTTTCCCCAAGTACTCATGGAACATTTTCCAGGATAAGTCATATCCTAGGCCATAGAACACGATAGAGCAATTCTTAGCAAATTTCAAAAGATTAAAACCACATAAAGTATGTGTGGAATCAGATCAGAAATCAATAACAAGAAAATCTAGAAATATACAAATACTTAGAAATTAAATGACACACTTCTACATAGCCAATGTACCAAAGAAGAAATAACAAGGGGAAGTAGAAAACATTATGAAATGAATGAAAGCAAAATATCAAATACCAAAATTTGTGGGATGCAGTGAAAACAGTGCTTAAAGGGAAACTTGTAACTATTAACACTTACAATAAAGGAAAAAAAAGATCTCAAATCAATAGCCTAACCTTCAATCTTGAGAAACTAGAAAAAGGGGCCAGCAGGTAGTGTGATAGTAGTTATGAAGCTGGGCTCCCATATGGTTGACTGTGGTTCGAGCACCAGACCCAACAGCTTGAAAAATAAATCTGAGTGAGTGTGTGGGGACCCCAAATCCTGCTCATACCCCCTGGGGATGATTTCTCACTTTCCCTCTCACTATCTCTCTCTCTTTCTCTCCAGTGAGTACATGTGTCCTATGACAAAAACCTTAAAAAAAGAAGACTAATAAGTTCACCAAGGTTTGAGACACAAGATTAATATACAAAATTAATCACATTTCTATACACTGCCAATGAATACTTTGAAAGTAAAATTAAGAAAATGATTAAGTTTACATGGCAACAAAAAGAGTAAAGTATCTATTTATAAATTTAATGAAAGAAATAAGATTGTAACTAAAAACCACAAAACATTGTTAAAAAAAATGTATGAAGCCCTAAATAAATGGAAACTTATGCTCATGAACTAGAAGTTATAGTACTGCTGAGTTGCCCATATTTTCCAAATTGATCTACAGTTTCATTGCAGTACAAAATTTTAATAAAAAGCCCAGCTGGTTTTTTTTTTTATTGTAGAAATGGAAAAGCCAGGACAAACAGGTGGTGTGGTGGTTAAGGTGCTGGACTCCCACATGGCCAACTGTGGTTCAAGTCCCAGACCTAGCAGCTTGCTTTCTCACTTTATCTCTTCCTCTCTTTCTGTCTCTCTCTGGTCAATTAAAATAAAATGAAATTAAATAAATAATACCTAAAAAAAAAAAAAGAAAGAAAAAGAAAAGAAATAGAAAAGTCAACATTCAGACTTATAAAGAATTGCAAAGGGCTCCAAACAGTCAAAAACAATCCTGAAAAGGAAGAATAAAGTTAGAGAGCTCACATTTTCTGAATACAAAATTTACTACAAAATTACATTAACCAATGTAATTTTGATTGATGTAATATTGGCTTAAGTATAGATACAAGGATCAATGTCATAGAATTGAAAAATAAACCTCCATATTTATAATCAACTGATTTTTTTATTAGGATGACAAGACAATTCAATGGGGAAAAGAACAGTCTATTTTTTTTTAACACATGGAGCTGGAACTGCTAGATATTAACACATAAAAGAATAAATTTAGACCCTTACCTCACACCACACACAAAAAAATAATTTTAAATTGTCCAGAAACCTAAGTACAAGAGTAGCTTGGCAAAAACCATGGAAGCCCCTCTCCATCACTTTGGGTTGGGCAATGATATTTTAGATACAACACCTAGATGAAAAAGCAATAAAATATAAAATAAGTAATCCAGACTATATCAATACTAAAATTTTTTATGCTCCAAAGGATGCTATAAAGAATGCAAAGAAATAGGAGCCCATAGAAAGGAGGAAAATATTTACGAGTCATGTATCTAATAAGAGGCTTTTACTAGTATACAGAATTTATTTGCAACTCAATAAGAAGATAAATAACTCAATTAAAAAGAAAACAAAATGGAGCCGGCAGATGGCGTGGTGGTTGGAGCACTGGACACTCCTACATGGCCGACCATGGTTCAAGTCCTGGACCTGGTGGCTTGCTTTCTCACTTTCCCTCTCGCTCTCTCTATCTCTCTCTCTAGTCAAATTAAAATAAATAAATGAATAAATAAAAATTAAATTAAAACAATCTCTGAACTGGCATTTGACCATAGAAAATACATAAATATTAAACACAGAAAGATGCTCAATGTTATTAGTCATCAGGGATATTCAAATGAAAACCACTTTGACATACCATGTCACACCTACTAGAATGGTTATAATCAAGAAGACTAATAATAAGTGTTGACAATGACATAGAGAAATTGGAATCCTCATACCTCATTGGTTGGAATAAAAAATGGTGCGGTCATTTTTAAAAACAGTTTAACCATTCCTCAAATGGCTAATCATAGAGTTCACATAGCACCCAGCAGTTTCACTCCTAGGTATACACCCAAGAGAAATGAAAATGCGTATCCACATAAAAACTTCTATATGAATGTTTATAGCAGTGTTATTCATAATAGCCAAAAGTAGAAACAACCCAGATGTCACTAAGTGGTGAAAAGATAAATAAAATGTAGCAAATTTGTACAACGGACTATTAGTAAGCAATAAAACATAATGAAGTACTAAAGAAAACTACAAAATGCATAAACCTTGAAAACACCATGCTAAGTGGAAGAAGCCATACACAAAGGCCAATGTCGTATGACTCCACTTATATGAAATATTCAGGACTGGCAAATCTACTGACAAGAATTAGAACAGTGGCTGAGGAATGCCTATTCATGGTTATGTGGTTTCTAGTTTACCTTTTATCTAAAAATAGGTATTGATGTTGCACAAGACTGTGGATATATTGAAACACACTCAAT